TCCGTTGAAATCCTTAAAATAATCCCAAATCCCAAATCCCTAAAGTAATCTAGGGTTTTTTTTATTTGGCAAGCATGAAATCCGGATGTTCCTATTCCATTTCAAAATTGAAAAGTCGGGATTCAGATGTTTGTAGTCGGTCACGATGGAAGCCAATGTGCCTTTGTGGAGACATGGTTGTTCTTCAAAGGGAAACTACTGTTAAGAATATGGGAAAACTTTTTTGGGGTTGTCCAAATTATAAGGTATGCAACTACTGTTAAGTTATGTTTCTGTTTCTGTTTTTTGATGTTTCTGTTTATTATCCATCATCCTCTAAACAATGAAACTTACAGGGAGCTATACAAGCTGGTTGTGGCTTCTTTGATTGGTTTTATGAGGAGATGGGTGATGAGAAGGAGCAATTTTGGATGCATAGGTTAGGTGTGGTAACTAAGGGACTTGCTGAAGCAAAAAAGGACATTGAAAAAGCGACAATGGAGAATGAAGAATTAGGAAAAAAGCTGATGAAACTTGAAATTGAAATGAAGAATATCATGAAGTGGAAAATGATTTTGAATTTGATGTTTGTGATGATTATCATTGTATTAGTTGTTAGGGGTAGTTAGGTTATTACGGTTTGTTTGGAAGTATTATGTTATGGTTTGTTTGTAAGAATTAAGTTAAGTTTTGGTGGTAAGAATTATGTTTTTATGTTTAGTTAAAGTTTGTATCAGTTTTGGATTGTATCACTTCAACATGAATGTAATGGTTGGATTTTAATATATGGATTCTATCAGTTTAGTTGAATTTTAATATTTGGTATGTTATGTTTTTATGTTTACTGGGTGTGTTATAGACCTGTCAAAGTTGGTATGTTAATTTGGTCTGTTAATTTTGTCTGCATTTCTACACCACATTAGACATGATTGTAGTAATATAAAGTTCATGACAGGTCCATTTCATAATACACAAAGTTTATTACAAGTTCTGTTTTTAGGTTCATTTCATAATACCTATAAGTTGGTTATGTTTTTAACATAAAGTTCATGACAGCAGGATACATAAACAACAACAGCAGGATACATAAACTTGTAATACATTCCATAAAATAGACTTGTTCCACAACTGATACACATGTTCCAAAATAACAGCAGAATACATAAACTTGTTCATGACAACAGCAAAATACATAAACTTTTAACACAATTAATAGGAGTGTGTTGGCTAGTTTGCTCTGCTTCATGATATTTAGTAGTTGAGAATAAAATAGGTTCTAATTGTACATATTCAACCCCATATTGCTTTTTAGGATTACCGACTGACCCCACAAACCAACACGGGTCTTTTCAGTATGCTTTGTCCTCAATCACACACTTTCCGGGAAACTTCCCAGAAGGTCACCCATCCCTAAATTTCTCCAAGTCAAGCACGCTTAACTGTGGAGTTCTTATGAACGGGCTACCGAAAAGAAGATGCATCTTGTTGGTATAGGTAGTACCAATTAATCCTTATAAGCCTTCATTCAACCATGCAGTCCCATACCTGCATAGCCTCAGGATCCCTCTCATTCGGATGTGAATTCGGTTTTCCCCTAGAAGCTGCTAGGAGTGTCCCATTGTCATGCCTCATGACACCGACAACCACTCCCTCGCCCACGGGTGTTACATGTAACTACCGTCCTCTTTCACCTCAGGTGTTACATGCCCACCAGCTTCCGCTTGGTTCGTCCCCGAACCACATCGTACTGGGAGAGGTATGGCTCTGATACCATTTGTAACGCCCTCATATTGCTTTTTTTAGGATTACCAACTGACCCCACAAACCAACACGGGTCTTTTCAGCATGCTTTGTCCTCAATCACACGCTTTCCGGGAAACTTCCCAGAAGGTCACCCATCCCATAATTGCTCCAAGTCAAGCACGCTTAACTGTGGAGTTCTTATGAACGGGCTACCGAAAACAAGATGCATCTTCTTTTCGGTAGCCCGTTCATAAGAACTCCACAGTTAAGCGTGCTTGACTTGGAGCAATTCTGGGATGGGTGACCTTCTGGGAAGTTTCCCAGAAAGCGTGTGATTGAGGACAAAGCATGCTGAAAAGACCCGTGTTGGTTTGTGGGGTCAGTTGGTAATCCTAAAAAAAGCAATATGAGGGCGTTACAGAGCTTGCATTTCCACATGCTCGTCTTTATTTCCACTGAATGAGTTATTATTTTCTGACTCCATGGTAGTTAAAGCATCCATGTAGTTATCAACCTCACTGGTCACATCATCAGAATTGTACCTAACTAAGCTGCCTTCTATTTTCTTTTGTTCATTGATTGCCAATTCTGTTTCATCAGACACCTTGACATCCCTTACACCCACTGAGATTTGTTCTTTCACCATCACAAGATCTCCATTTGCCTCACCAACCTCTTCTGGAAATTGGTGAAGTTCATACTCCGGCTCATAAGGGGATGAACAAGAGTTTTCATCTCCAATCGACTTTTTAATGCTACTGATTTCAAGAATTATCTAGTATCGGTTTCACTGACAGCGGAAAGATTGAAGTTTCATAAATCATTTTCGGATCAGGCGAGGGAGTTTCTAGAAATTTCTCCATGTAACTTTTCCCAGATTTTGCTTCAACAGCAGGTCCATTCAATTGTCTTTTCTTCAGCTTCACTAGGCGAGCTGGATTACTATAACCATTCTCAATACGTTCCTCAAGAAGCAGCTGATGTAATCTGCAAAGATGGAAATAAATTTGAGACACCAGTCAATAATTTAAAGACCTAACCAGTCGAATACCAATGTACCATAACAAAATGATTGGAACTTACTTTGAATGTGATGGTACAGCATTAGGAGCTTCACCGTCCCTTAGTCGTGCTCCTTTCATGTCCTCGGTGGTGGCGGCTGGAAAGAATTCATGTCGACTGTTCGAAAATTTTGCATCAACTTGTACAGACTGACCAATCACCAAATAGGTGTTACTATCCTCTTTTTGGTTTTTTCCATCACACTGATAAGTAGTCTTTGTATTTTCAGATAATTTTTTTGATTCATAAGAATTATTTGTTGGAAATAAAGGTTGCAACATCATACTGTTACCATACCTACAAACAAGAATTTTGTCATAAGTATCATAAAAAGTTCTGTAGCTTTTTATTTGAAATGCTAAATAAGAAATATGCTCAATAAAGCAAGAACTGATGCTCACTTCTCAACAAAATAAGAGTTTTCAACACAATAAAACCATATTACAGGCAGATATACGGAAAATACTATATACTAGCCATTCAAATTTTGCTATTAACATCTCTTTGAAGCATTCGAGAAATGGTTTTGATGATAAACACGCCAATATGCATGTTGTCTCTCAAGAAGTTTGACAAATTTTACCATTCTGGAGACTATAAAATTTTTATTCTCCATGTTGTTTTAGTTTATATGATATCTAAAATTTAGCTGGATTTTAAAACCATTGATACATGTGTAACAGCATAAACATGACAGAGAAAAGAACGAGTAAAGAATATGCATAAGCAGAATTACAGGAAACCAATTATAACTGTCAATTGTGTCAAAAAACCATAAATTAGAGAGAAATGAACTAACCTTTTGATTATGTCTCTTGAATCGTCTTCAATCCTCAATCAGAAAACCCTCAATCCTTCGCGTCTGCAAACCTTGAATCGTTTTCAATGACTCAATGAATTCTCCAAAACTCCAAGATATGATTACACTTCTCCAAGCAGCTCCACCTTGTCGTGCCTTCTTCTGGTCTGGGTAATGGAACCGTTAGAATTGTTTTTCTTCCTCTAAGACACTCCATATCCACGTCAGCAGCTCCACCTGGACAAACATGGCACGTCAGCAGCTCCACCTGGACAAACTTGACAATTTTTTCAAAGTTTGACTAACGGCAACAGACGGAAGGATAAACGTGACACCATTTTAAAAGTTAAAGGACCAACTTGCCACTTTTTAAAGACAAGGGACCAACATGGACCCCGAGATAAAGTTAAGGGACGAAAAAGGTTATTTTGCCTATATATATATATATATATATATATATATATATATATATATATATATATATATATATATATATATATATATATATATATATATATATATATATATATATATATATATATATATATATATATATATATATATATATATATATATATATATATATATATACACACATACATATATAATTTTTTAATGTATTTTGATATATTTGAATTAAATTGTTTCAATTATTTATTTATATAATTAAAATTTTGGATATATTGTGAGATTTGGTGGGACCCATTTTAGAGTTTTTGATGGGTTGTTTGGATATTTGAAAAATGTAGTTGAGTTGTTTAGAAAATATTAAAGTGGAATATAATATAAAAAAATGCGTGGACCTCATCTAAAGAATCAAAGTGGGGATAATGAGTGTGAATGCTCTTATACTCATCATTGATGACTATCTCCGCCAGCAACGTACGCTGCCTGCAGCCAATTGGAAGGTTCTAACCATAGCCCAGATTTGAAACCCGGAAGCAGAAAATGGAACTAATTACAATGAGTATAATTATAATAAGTTTCGGTTGTCGAAACCTTGATATTCTCTTCTTCCGGTAATGATCGATCTATTTTCAACTCCCATTAGATTTTATGTTACTTCGATAAACTTTTTAGACTAGTTTTGTATAATTTTATCTGAAAATTGTTTGACTTTATTAAATATTTTGGTCTAGTGTGCTCATAAGTCGACGCTACGATATCATTTCCTACAATGGAGGCGATAAGATAAATGACATAAGATAATAATTGTTAAGAAATGTCTGTTAGTTCTAACTTAACCCTATAAAACTCTTATTATTAATAATAATAATAATAATAATAATAATAATAATAATAATAATAATAATAATAATAATAATAATAATAATAATAATAATAATAATAATAATAATGTAGAAGTTAAATTACAATTATTACTCCATAGCCAAAAGATTCTATAAAACTTGGTTTCTTATGCCAAATTTCTCAATTTATGTGCCAACAGAGAAATGGTCTTTGCAGATGATCCATCTTCTTTAAGTGCAGAGTTAGTACCCTCTTTCAATTCATTGATCCTTTTGCGTAACTTGTCGCCTTCTTCGCCTTCCATGAGACACTTGATCAACTCAGAAATTTGCACCCTTTCCACAATGCCATTTTTCTGAACTTTTGGCCTCAGTCCTACTTTTAGACTCTCACTCAGCAAAACTGCATTCATTCTCTGTTCAGCAAACAGAGGCCATGCAATTAGCGGCACACCATGCATCACACTTTCAAGAACTGAATTCCAACCACAGTGACTCAAGAACCCGCCAGCTGATCTGTGACTAAGGATTTGAACCTGCGGTGCCCATGACGGAATAACCATTCCTTGCTCCTTGGTTCTTTCCAAGAACCCTGAAGGTAAAAACTTTGACGCGTCGATATCATCCTGTGCTGAAAGATATGCATCACTAGCTGAACTACTTGGTGCTCTGAAAACCCATAAGAATTTATGATTACTCAACTCCAAACCCAAAGATAGCTCTACAATTTGTTCCTGTGAAAGTCTACCACCGCTCCCAAAAGAAACATACAAAACTGAACAAGTTTGTTGTTTATCTAACCATGTCAAACATTTTTTGCCATTACTATGATAATCAGATTCTGTTCTTGTTTGGATAATGGGTCCAACAGGATAGACCGCAGGGTTGCCACTTCCTTCTGCCAATGCTTGTATAGGACCTTTTTCAATTTCTAGGAAGCTATTAATAAGTATCCCATTAGGAGAGAAAAATTTGTTTAGACGTTGGAGTAAGAATTTGTAAGCTTGACTTGATCTATCTTGAGCTTGGTCGATGAGATCCTTACCATGGATTGGTACACAACCTGGTGCTTGAATAGCCTCGGGAAGATCTCTGTACTCACGTGATGTTTCCTTATCCACTTTGAGCAAATGGAAGTAGTAACACAAAGTGGTGGCTGCTGCAGGGAAGTAAACATAGGACAGCATGTTGAATTCCTTAGCCAAATCTAGTGCTTCAGCGGATAAAGAATCAACCACCAGTGCCACAGGGGGAGTCCTTACAGTTAAGGAGTTCAAAGCCTGGTGTAAAGATGGTAGAGAGAGTGACACTGTGAGCTGGATTTTGCTTTCTAAGGTAGAATCTTGTGGCAGGTGGTTGGGATTCACAGGTGGAAGAAAAGTGTAGTTGATGTTTGATGGAAGAGTCTGAAGGAATGAGTTTGAGGCAGTTGAGGGTGAACCAAGTGTGGGAATGATACATGTGACATGAAAATCTGGATGGAGTTGAACAAGTAGCTTGGAGAATTCAAGAATAGAGACTAAATGGCTGTACCAAGGACCTGGAACAACTGCAATGTGAACGGTTTTCTCCATGAAAATTTGTGGATAAGTTCACAGTGCACCACGTATATGGTATCGTTTGTTCGGTGACTTGTGAAAAGAAAAACAACAAATAAAGCTCGCCTCTCTGTGCACAACTGCACATGCTACAACAGCACGTCAGCAACAAGGCATTTTTATTTAATTAATTGTGGATTTACATAATTCATAAATTATATTATGGTTAATTATAAGTTAAGTAAATTTTATTTTTTTAGATACATTGAATAATTAATTTATCTGATTTATATATAGTATTTCAGAAAACGAGAACGACTTCGCGATGAACAATCGCACGCTTGCGGAATAAACTTAACAGAGTCGTCACCGAACTTTATTTATTTTCAAAGAAAAAAAGGGAAAATATCGATAAAACTCATAAACGAAAAGGATAGGATATGGTCATTGCAACCAATATCGAGTTCAGAAACCGATTATGCAAGGGGAGGGGTTAGCACCCGTCACATCCGTTGTACTCAACGAGAACCATTTAGGTTGTCTAAGCGCGAATGAGTGTAGTTATTTAAAGGTTACTTGTATCGGGAAAAATTGTTGGTTTTTTATTAGGGTGCCCACCAAGATCTCGGAATCTCATGCCTATGTATTCTCATAGTTCAATAAGGAAGTCAAAGCATTTGTAGTTCGGTGAACTACAACTTGTTGGTTAGTTTTATCGAACAAATGTTTAGATCGTGTTCTAATGGCTAAACATTAGTTTGTCTACTCTCGGCAGAGGCTTAAGCATTTTGTTTGTATGCGTGTTAGAAGAGACTAAACATTGTTATTTTAAGAAAAAGTTTTAATCGTATGGGTGTGAGAGGTTGAATTGATATGTTGAGTGTTTTATTTGAATGACGATTACTCAGTCTGTCGAGTAAGGCAACTCCTATCCAAATAATTGAGGAGAGGAATCGAATGCTCCATAGCATCTCCCTTTTCATTCTTAATTGCGAATTTTTTTGAATATTTAAGGTATTTTTAAATTGATGATGAATACTCGAATGGACAAGTAAGGATACTCGTATCCAAGCGTTCGAGAAAGGGAATAGAATGCTCTAAACCACTCTCTTTTTTATCTAAGTTATTAAGAAAATAGGGTTGATTTGATTTATTTAAGAAAAGGTCATTTACATTGGATCAAAGGTTTTATTAAGAAAGTACCACTAGACGTTGGATCAAGGGTTTGAGAAAGAGTTAAGGTCGATCCTAGTCCCTAAGGAAATTTAGCAAACGAAACCGCAACCAAAGAAAAGCAGGAAAGTAAAGAAAGTACATCCAAAAGAGGAGATGGTACATGAAAAATACAAGGGAACTATTGCAAGAGATAAATGGTCATGTTTCCATGTAGCTCAAGAGAAAGTCGTGTGTGTCTGAAGTGTCCTAAGCTAGGCAATGAAAATAAGAGTCTAAATACAAGTCTCCTTTTGCTATGGTCAAACATTAAGTCCAAAAATTCATGATGCTAAGGTCATCTACACAGTCCACAATCCATTTATGTCTCACAAGTTTTTTAGGTCTCTTTCATTTTTATCATATTTTTGTGTTTTTTAATAAGATAAATAACAAAAAAAAGAAAATGATATAAAGTAAGTCCATGAATGATAAATGAGCAATAAAGTAAATTGCGGAAAGTAAATGACGAGAAATAAATTGCAAGAATTAAAGTCGATAAGGTAAAAGTTAGAAGTTAGTAGTTAGTGATCGAATGATCGATTTATCGAATCGGGACAACTGTAATTTCTTGTGTAACTCTTATTTTATTTTATTTTTGCTGCATTTTTCCTCAATTGCACTTGCCTTGTTTGGCTCTTGTAACTTGAGCCTGAATAAGTTTATCCTATTGTTTTTTTTTGTACATACTTTGTGTTTTGTACCACCATGCTTGCCTTAATAATTTGAGGTGATACTTGGATCCTTGCTTGTGTAATAATTCTTTCCTTGGCTTGTAACTTTTGGCTTATGTTTGATTTTTCACTCATGCTTGGTGTTATAGCATATTGAAATGGCAACCAAAACTATTGAACTTAGTATGACAACTTCCATATGGTAAGCTTGAACCGTGAGCTTGGACCATGAAAGATTTTGGTGTTTTCAAATTTGGTCATGATTAAATGGTGGATGAACTAAGATTGACTTCATATGCCAATTAAACCAACTCTAAAATTTCTAACACTTGGCAATGGCAAAGATAAATAAGCAAGTTTAGGTCTTCATATTGAATTCAAATTTGTATTAGAAGTTAAGTGAGCTAAAACTTGAACTTAGTGCCTTTGTGATCACCATATGAACCAATCTTGATTGAACTTTAATGGATACATTGCAAACTAAGTCTTAAATTGCCACAACACTTGCCCAGACCATATTTCCATTACATGAGAAATCCAATATCCATGATTGAGGTGACTTATTAATGAAGCAAGTTTGAACTTATCCTTAAATGAAAGGTCGATAAGTTAAACCAAACAAAATGACTTGAAACAACAAAACATCTTGATCAAATCTTGTAACCTAAAAAGAAATAAAGCAAATGCAACATTCTTTTTTGTATTTTTGAATGCACAATAGTTAGGTAGAATGTTAATAAATGACAAGAATGAATAAATCTTAATTACAAAAGCAACAAGCATAAGATCAAAACATCAAGACAATGAGACACACAAGTGACCTTGGTGAGAACCTTTTAGGCAAGCAATCAGAGTGGAAGTCCTCATACTCAAACTTATGAATCACCCTGCTTTGAAACCAATGATCATATGATACTAATGCAAACGATATGCTAATGATAGATACACAGATGATGAAAATTCTAGGGTAAAAATGAGGGTGTGACAATCATTAATTATTAATGAATAATTTGATTATGTTTTGTGTCCAAATGGATTGTGATGGATTTGATCATTTAGTTGTGTTTTATAAACACTAAACAGATGATGTTTCTCTAGAGAATAAGATTGAATTCATTCATTCATGCCCAATATAAAGAAGGTATCGAAGACTGCAATGAAGGCAACTCAAATACTCAAGTTCCAATGAGTCTAAAGCATGACAATGTGGGAAATTCAACATCAGATTTAAGATAGACTCTTAAGATATCTTAGAATTTGAAATGCATCTATCTCAACCTTACAAAACCAATTTGAAATGTAAGTGTTGTCTAATCATTATAAATACTACACAAGTCATGTCTCTTAAAACAATACGTAACTAAATTCATCATTTCACACTGATAGTGGAGACTAATATAAAAGCAACACAGATGCTAATAGGTCATGATTAAGCGGTTAGAGGTAAATCATTAGTATATAAGATCAGAATTATGAATCGCAACCGCAATTGGCGCGATCCTGGACATTCCGGCCAAAACAACCACTCATCCCGTGAGATTCAAAGTGTATATCGTAGATTCAAAACGCATGCGATTTCTCTAGGTTCGCGGGTCAGGTAAAGTGATTGACTGATTTTTTTTCTTCCTTCGTGTTTTGTTCTCGACGTCTCTTCTTTCTTCTCTTTTTGACGAAACATCATTAAAAAAAAGGAAGATTAAAAAAAAGGAAGAAGATGAAGTTATAGATTTAATAAAGAGGCAAAGACAAAAATGAAAGAAGATGAGTAGTGGGGTGGGGATGCAAATAAGAATGAAGGGTTGAAAAAAAAGATGAAATGGTGGGGTAAGGATGAAGTCAAATAATTTGAAAAATAGTATTAAATTTAATTCATTGGAAAAGTCTTTTAACATGACCCAACCGAATACCAAATACTACAAGAATATTAATATTTAACCTCTAAGGCCATGTAAAGGCAATAAATTAAGCCTTTTAATTTTAAATTTGTTATGAAATAATGATTATTTAATTCATATGTTATAATTTAAAGATTATTTTATTATATGATAACTTTTATAGATATGTATATCATTTTTTAATTTATAGAATTACTCTAAAAATTTATCCCACTATTCCCTACCTATCCCACTTTTGAGAGCGGCGACTACTTTTGAGAGCGGAGACTCCGCCGTCGTGGATTAAACTTACCAAAAAATCAATTTAATATAAGGTTGAACTTTCAACAACATCAAGTGTTCACTAGATCTAGCACCTCGTTATTAGCTTTGAAAAGCTGAATCTTGTTGGATAAAATAGTCTGACATGAATAAAAAATCAGAAGTCAGTTAGGCAAATGGTTATGTAGCACAGGGTAAAGATCAATCTATCTTTCTAGTTGAATATAATGCAAGTAAGGTAACTTTTAACACAATAAAAAAATGGATATGAAATCAATAAATCAAAAAGCAATTGACTAACAAAAAGAACTCAAACTGTTACTATTTCTCATGGCCTATGGAAGAATACAAATTAAAACCTCATCTGCATGATTTAAATCTGTCAGAATATTACACACTTAAAATCAAGGAAAAGAAAAGTATCATATGAATTTAGACCCAACAGACCTAACAATAACATTGCCTTTAATATTTATCTTCGAATTCCTTCAAGGAGAGGCTATCGTGAAATTCTTCTGTGCAGATCCACACAACCAGTACCTTCATATCCATCCTCTCAAAAAAACTGATTCTCTGGCATAACACTACAACAAAATCACCATACAAAAACTTCTCTTGATGAATGAGCCGGGCCATTCCTGGGTGATATATATAACATATAACACCCAGCACAATACGAAAAAATAGAAACTCAAGAACATGGAAGCTGGATAACAAGTAACAATAATAGAGAAGTCGAAAACCCTGAAAATAATCAGACTAATCCAACATTTAAGAACCAACTTTTTAGTATTGAATGAAGCAAAAAGCTGAAAGTGAGTGGCATTAATAGTAAACCTCAGAAGCCACTGCTGGATGATGCATTTCCAGATCTAAGACCCGAAGTGGATCCATTGCTTGTTTTGCTGATAATCCCTTTTCCAAAATACTCGGCAATGACAGAAAACCCATCTTTGGAGTTCTTAACTTGCTGGAAAAACCTGTCCTGATCCTT